CAATGGCTGCAAGAAGTCCTCTCACTTTTGAAAACTGTATTTAAGTTTTATATTGTGAATATTGTGGTGTTTGTTTTTTTATTTTAAAACATGAGATGTTTTGGTATTACTTGCAAAGTCAAATGAACAAAGCGTTGCTAATCTTCAGAAACTGTAAGTCCATTTTGGTTGGTGAGAAACCTATATATATACTGTATGTTGTGTTTCTGTGCTGTGCTTACCCAGTGGTTCTGGCTGTATGGAAGAGGAAGACTCGAGTGTGGGACCAGTGCAAGTAATTGACAACAACATTTGAGTTAATGTTGGAAAGGGCTGATTTTCTTTACATGTCCAGATACTGTCTGTTTGCTAATAAAAAAAAAGAATTGCAATTGCTGCTTTTTCCTTTCTTTTCGCACTCATTGCAAGTGGTGCTGTGGATTGAAAGGGCTGTTCTACAGCTGGTTACCTAAAGCAAGGACTACACTCCACCTCTTTATTTATTTACTTATTTATTTTGACATCTACGAACAATCTGTTGGGTGGACTCAGAAGTGAGCGTGGAAGTCATCCTCCCTCCACCAGTGAGCTGCCAAGGGTTTGTGTGCCTGCTGCTCCTGGAACTCCTGCCATGGACAGCTGGGCAGGAATCACGCTCTGCCTGCCTCAGGTGCTTCATCCTGCACAACTCTTAGCAGTTGAAATATGTTGTCTTGTGTCATCTCTGTCACTCTGTTCCCCCACTGCTTCGTTTCGTTGTGTATTTCCCTGTATGTGAGATGTGCAGTAGCAACACGCTGTGCTTACAGGACTGTTCCAGGTCTCATGCCATCCCCAAGTGCTTTATTCTTTCAAGGACGTGCTGGGGAGAATATCAGCCTTTCTGATAAGGCCGTGATTGCAGCAGGCATCATTCTCCCTTCCTGCCCCCTCTGCACCGATGTCCTGTTATCCATTCCAGGCTCTGCCTTAGCCCTGAAGGTGCTAATATCAGCAGGCCTGGCCGTGCCGCGTGTGCTTCTCCCTAGGGAAAAAAAGAAACAACTCTGCAAAGAGCCGGCCGTCCTGGGGGAAGAGCTGCATTTTTGTGCTGAGCCGCTGGCAGCACCATCCCCTCGCGATCAGGCTCTTCCTCCTGGCCTGGAAACAGCTGCGATGGCATCGCTCCGCGCATTCACTAACCAAGAAATGCTGCTAGCTGCTGCCATGCCAGTCACCACTGGCTCTTCTGGTTTTCTCCGCAGCAACGGCGAGAGTCGGGAGTTTGCAAACCGCAACCACCCCCGTCTGCAGCGTGAGCAAATGCAGGCGTTCCGCTCGCGGTCAGCACGCAGACACGGCAGCCCGTTCAGCCCGGGCCGGCAGGGCTACAAGCAGCGGCGTGCCCTGCCCGGGGCTCCGACGCCGCGCGGTCCTCCCGCCTCCTCCCCCGGAACGGAACGCGGCGCACCGCCCCGTGCCCTGACGCGCGCTCCGCTCCGCAGCGCAGGGCAGCAGGCGGCGGGGCCGCGCCGTGCCGTGCTCGCAGCCGGGGGCTCGGGGCCGTGCCTGCCGCGAGAGGCGGTGCCGCCGAGCCCCGCCGCTTCCCACGCCGCCCGCGCCATGGCCCCGCCGCGCGCCGCGCTGCTGCTGCCGGCCCTGGCCGTCCTGCTGGCTGTCCCCGTGGCCGCCCGCGCCCCGCCTCGCAGCGTCGGTAGGCTCGGGTCGGGTCGGGTCGGGTCAGGGGGAGCCGGGCGGGGAGCCCGGAGCCCGGCAGGGCTGCGGCACCGTGCCTCGGGTGCGCCGCCAACCGCCGCCCCTCTCTGCCCGCAGCCGTGGTGGGCGCCGGGCTGGGCGGCTCGGCCGTCGCCTACTTCTTGCAGCAGCACTTCGGGCCGCAGGTGCAGCTGGACGTGTACGAGCAGGGCGGCGTGGGCGGCCGGCTGGCCACAGTCACCGTCAACAAGCAGCAGTACGAGAGCCGGGCCGCGTCCATCCACGCGCTCAGCCTGCACGTGCAGGACTTCGTCAAGACGCTGGGTGAGTGCCGTGTGATCGGCGGGACGCGGCGGTACCTCGGCACGATGGGCGCCAGGTGTCCCAGCGCCCCAAGGCCGCCGTGACCGCACCGTGGGGCTCCGGGCGGACCTCAGAACGCCGCCGCTTCGTCCCGTCCGGAGGCGGCGCCGCCCCGTGGGATGCCCGAGCGCGTGGGCTCTCACGCTGCCCGGTGCCCACGCGGGAGCTCGCTCACCCCGTTACCCGCACCCCACCACCCGCCCGGTGGGCCCCTCTGCTCCCCGCAGGGCTCAGGCAGCGCCGCGAGGTGCCGGGGAAGAGCGCCGTGTTCAGCGGGGAGCACTTTGTGCTGGAGGAGACCGACTGGTACCTGCTGAACCTCTTCCGGCTCTGGTGGCACTACGGGATCAGCTTCCTGCGCCTGCAGATGTGGGTGGAGGAGGTGATGGAGAAGTTCATGAGGTAGGGCCGTGGCTGGGTGGGGAGGGGGATTCTCCCCGGCGCCGGGGCCTCACCCCGTGCTGCCATCCCCCCCACAGGATCTACAAGTACCAGGCTCACGGCTACGCCTTCTCCAGCCTGGAGGAGCTGCTGCGCTCACTGGGGGGTGAGGCCTTCGTCAACATGACGCAGCGCTCGGTGGCCGAGGCTCTGCTGGAGGTGGGCGTCACGCAGCGCTTCGTGGATGACGTCATTGCAGCCGTGCTGCGCTCCAGCTATGGCCAGTCGGTGCTGGTGCCCGCCTTCGCGGGTGAGGATCCGTTGCCCTCTTGTGAGCGTCCTCGCCGGGGTTCCTCCCCGAGTGGGGCCTTGAGCGCCTTCCCCTTCCTCTCCCCAGGAGCCATGTCCCTGGCGGGGGCCCAGGGCAGCACGTGGGCGGTGGAAGGAGGCAACAAATTGGTGTGCTCGGGCCTGCTGAAGCTGACCAAAGCCAACATCATCCACGGCAGGGTGACGGGTGTCTCTCTGCACAGCTCGGGTGAGCCCGACTGCGGGTTTTGCTCTGGCCCTGTGCACCCATGGGTGCTGCTGGTGTTGGGGTTGTGGGTCTGCACCTGGAGAGAGAGGGCTTGCTGGGGATGGGTTGATGGTTGGACCTGATGATCTTAGCTCTTTTCCAACCATAATGGTTTTGTGATTCTGTGAGGCGGGTGGTGGTGGCTGTGGGGATACTGGGGGCTCTGGGAGGCTCTTAGTCTTTCTGAGAGGCTGTTTGTCTGTCTGAGAGGCTTGGCCCTGCCCTGCAGACCTTCGTGTCCCTTAGGTCCCTTCTTTGGGCCAGGTTCCCACTGGCACTATCCGTGCTCCAGCACAGCAGAAGGTTGGACAGCTGTGCTTTGTGAAGGGCAGCTTTGACCCTCTCCTCCTTTTCTCACCATCATGAACTTCTCTAGAAGCTTTCTCTCACAGGCTCCATAAAATGCTTTCTGTTGCCCTAAAGCATTAGCAACTCATCCAGAGCCACCAGATTCTATGGTCCAGCACTGGAAAACCAGGGGCTGGAGGCAGTGCTAAAAAAAAGTGGGGACCATACAGCTTGGGGCCAGTGCTATAGCCACTATCTGCCATCTCTCTTCAGAGGGGAGAGCCCTGTACCAGGTGCACTACACGAGCAGCGAAGGCCAGGGCTCGGCGTTCTACGACATGGTGGTGGTGAGCACTGCCCTACACCCCAGCAGGAGCAACTTCAGCTTCCAGAACTTTGAGCCGCCCATTGACAACTTCCCTGGCACCTTCCAGCCCTCCGTCACCTCCGTGGTGCACGGCTACCTCAACTCCTCCTACTTTGGCTTCCCTGACCCCAAGCTCTTCCCCTTCGCCAGCATCCTCACCACCGACACTCCCGCCCTCTTCTTCAACGCCATGGACAACATCTGTCCTGTCAACGTCTCAGCAGCGTTCCGTCGCAAGCAGCCCCAGGAGGCGGCGGTGTGGAGGGTCCTTTCCGAGCAGCCGCTGGACAAGCAGCAGCTGAAGACCCTCTTCAGGTCCTACTACTCGGTGCAGGTGACGGAGTGGCAGTCACACCCCCGCTACGACTCGGCCAAGTCGCTGCCGCCCATCGTGCTCCATGAAAACCTCTTCTACCTCAGCGGCGTGGAGTGGGTGGCCAGCTCCATGGAGATGATTGCCGTGGCGGCCAAAAATGTGGCCCTCCTAGCTTACAACCGCTGGTACCAGGACCTGGAGAAGATAGACCAGAAGGACTTGATGCACAAGGTGAAGACTGAGCTGTGACGCATTGGGTGGTGGTGGGCCCGGAGCTGCTGTCTGCAGTGGGCAGGGGTGTATTTATTGCCTTGGGATCACCACGGGGCTTGGGGCAGGGGGCGAGGGACAGGCTGTGTCCAGATGACCTGAACATGTTTTTCCTTCAGGAATACAGCCCCTGTTGCTTGTCTGTGCCGTGCGCTGGAAATTTCTCCCTTTTCCTCCTTGGGTGGCACTGGGATGCGCTGTGAGGAAGGGTCATCTTGCTTTGGAAGGGACCATGTAGGGCTTCAAAGCCAAGGCCATGCAGGTAGCAGGACCCTGCTCCTGCTGCTCCTCGCTGCTGGGCAGAGCCCCTCCAGCCCAGGCAGCACCACGGGCTGAGGCATGGAGCAGGTCAGACGGGGGCCAGCAATGCACTTTATTATTTAGGGCCTCAAAAGCTGCCTCAGCTTCCCCCGGACATCAACTGCTCCCCACCCCCTGCCTCTACGCCAGGCCCTGGGCTGCAGTTTGCACGTGGGGCTGGGGGTGGTGGGTGAGGACCTTCCCCCTCCATTCTCCTTGGCCTTTCACTGGGGGTTCAAAAGCTCTTGGCGAGGCCAGAGGCAGGATGATGTGCTGGGCTGCTTGCAGGGCTGCCCCAGCACTGGGTGTCCCCAGCCCAGATTGAGCCTGGTGGAATTTGCAGGGGGATTTTGGGGAGCCCTTGGGGGCACTCCTTGCCCCAGTGTTGAGCCTGGCAATGTTTGATAAGCAAGAGCAAGCTGCTTAGATGCCTGTAGATGACTTTGGGCGTTCATTATGCAGCCTCAGAAGATGCAAGTGCAGCCCACAGCGATGGTCTCCATGACCATCTGGTACTTCTTGTGACACTTCTTCCTCCCGGAGGCCTTGTGCCCCACCTCGCCTGGTGCCTGGCAGAGCAGCCTCCGGACAGGCAGCCGACTGTAGATGGGAATGCTGGCCATGGTGCGGTCCTCCTGCATGGTGAAGGGGTTGATGCAGCCAGTGCAGAGGCACCGGGCCTCGGGGATGTCTGCCGGGATCCGCGTGGCATCGTGGTTGATGCTGGAGGATAAGGAAAGCAGTGGGAGGTTAGGGGGATGGTGAGACTGGCAGGTGGGATGGGGACAGTGGGCTGGGGATGGGCAGGGCAGTACCACTGCAGGTGATATGGGGAGCACTGCGTCATGGTTGCTTTGAGATGCTGGAGCTGTGGTCACCCCTGCATCTGCTAACTTGGGATGAGTGTGCACGGCCCTGCCAGAGCTCCCCAGCCCTGAGGACCCTGCCCCGCACTTACCTGTAGGCCCAGGGGGACAGGCTCCTGCGGTTGGACCTCCAGAGACGCAGATTGACCTGGCACTTGGTGTCGCCTGGCTCGGAGCCATTCCTCAGCTGGTGCACCATGTCCTGGATGCTGCGCTCGTAGTCCTCCATTGGAGTGTAAGGGTCGTCCGGGGCCCTGGCCAGGGCGGGAGCGGCCATGGGGAGCCGTGAAGGGCCCCTTCTCCTCCCCTTGGCTGCTCTGCTTTCATCCTTGGCTTCTGGCACCAGAACCATGGCAAAGGTGAAGATGCAGAGGAGAAGCTGAAGAGAAAGGAGTGCAGTGCGTGGCTGCCCTAGGCTGCAGAGCTTTTGCAAAAGTATGCATCCCTGCTTAGGGGATGGACACTTGGCCCAATTTCCTGGCATTGGGGTGGCACCGTGCATGCTGGGTGGTGAGCACATGGTCGGGGGAAGCCCCAGGGTATAACCCATGGTTGCAGAGCCCCTTGTCCAGGGAGCCGAGCCCAAAGGGCCCTGTGCCTGCCCTGAGCATCCCCAGGTGGCCCCATGCCCCAAGCAAGCACACACACCAAGGGTACACTCAGGGTGTACCTGGGGCTCCTTTCATTTACAAGGAGCCTTAGAGATGAGACACGCAAGAATGAGATCTTTATCCAAATCCTCCTCTCCCTCTGTGCTCTGAGGACAGAGAAAGAAAGGTGCCTTTTCCTCTCCTTCTCCCTCCAGCCTCGCAGGGCCGAGCTCCGTGTGCCTGCAGCCGGCATGCTGCCCAGTGCCGAACAAAGTTGCTTTCTGTAGCGCTGCTCTCCGTGTGGCTGCAGCCGGCCGAGGCAGCCCCACACCCTGCCCGTGGTCCCGCTGTGACACCGTCCTGCGTGCGTGCAGGGTCCAGGCAGAGAGCTGCGCTCCTGGGCTGTGCCGCGCTTCCCTCAGGCCGCTGCAGGTTCGCTCCCCGCTTTGTCCCCTCCGTGCCATGCAGCGGGGTGACGGGCCCAGCAGGGCCGGGATGAGCATCTCCAAAGCAAACGGAGCCAGGTAGCCACCCGCAAACACGCTTGTACATAATGGCATTAAAGAAGGGAAGCGAACAGGCAGCCCCGCGCCGCGGCACGCTACCTACCAGGTTGGGAGCCCGCTCCATGGCGGCGGAGGGCCGGACGGCTGCCCGCAGTGCGGCTGGCACAGCCGAGCCCCGCAGCTAAATAGGGAAAGCCCCAGCCCTGCGGCGCTTCCCCGGAGGTGTGTCTGCCGCGTCCCCGAGGTGTCAGCAGCTCAGGGCCAGGGCCAGCGTGGTCTGGGACTCGGCCACCGCCTCCTCCCCGGTGCTGGCTGCAGCAACCCTGGCTGTCCCTCCTGGAGCAGGCAACGCAGAGAGGTTCAGGGGCAGAACCTGTCTCAGAGAAAGGTCTGGGGTTCTGCTGGCAGTGACAGCACGGTGACAGCCCCCATGGCTGGGGGGCACTGCTGGAGCAGGTGCTGGCAGGAGGACAATGGGTTGTGTGCAGTGCTGGTGGCACAGTGTGCAGGTAGCCTGGAGCTTCTGTGGAAACAACTGAGGGTCCCCAGTGATGTGTGTGCCACCAGCAGCTCCGCTGTGCCCATGAACCCCCGTGAATCACAGCATCAGTGAGGCAGTGGCAGCATTGCATCCTGCACCCTGGCTATCTGTCACCAGACCCTTCCCTGCTGCTGTCTGCAGCCTGATGGCTGTGACTGGGGCTGTGCCCTGATCTGTAGGCTGTGGGTGTCCTAGGGGTGTGCTGGGGATGCTGCCCCAGTGCTGTGCTGCATCCACAGGCCGAGCCTGGGGGTGCTGCAGTGAAGGAAACTGAGGCACGGGAGGTGCTGACCCCGGGGCTGGGGACTGCGGGCGCCTATAAAGGAGGTGTAGAGAGCAGGGGGAGAGACGCAGTCCCTGTCCCTGAAGCCAGGAGGATGCTGTACCGCACGGTGGTGCTGTCCTCCACCCAACCGCAGTGCAATGCCCTTCCTCCATCCCTCCTCCATCCCTCCCTCTGTCCCCTCCCAAATCCCCCAGCTTCGCTCACTGTAGAGGTGCCTGGTGCTGTTCCCTGCTCCTCGGGGGGCACCTTTTAAGCTTTGAAGTCTGCTGCCCCACGTCTGGGACTGCCACTGGAGCAATGCCCTCTGCTTGCTCCACATCCCCCCATCCACAGGCTGGAAGGCCCTTGTGCTTCGTAGGGCAATGGGAAATTTCCACTTCCTTTTCCCAGTCCAGGAATTGGGCCTCAACCCAGAAAACGGGGCGAAAGTCATCCCCTCCTCCTACTGTGTCTCCCCTCCTTTTGGCTACCACAACCCAGAGCTGCCGCAGGAAACTCGCTGACATCCCCAGGGGCATTCAGCAGCACAGTGCTTCAGGGCTGTGGCATCTCACAGTCAACGAGCAGTGTCACCTCTGTCACCTGGTGGGGGCCTGGTGGCTCTGCAGCCACCTGCACCCACATTATTGCATTATTGCCTGGGACCCAACGCTGGTTGTGTGCTCCCCAGGGCAGCGCAGGGCAGAACGCAGCCCCTGGCCATGCCCAGAGGGTGCCGGGCTGCGCGGCCGCCTGTGTTGTGTCAGCGCTCGGCAATGCTGTTTACACATGAGAGAGGCTCGGAGGCATCCACGATGGGAGCCAATTACCCAGTTTTGATCTTTTTTGGTGAAAAGGAAACCAGGGCTTTTCAGACATGGCCAAATTTGATAAGCTGGGGGAGGTGGCTTTTCTCTACCAGCCTTGAGCCAGGGATGGAGCCGGGGTGCATGGCCGGGAGGGCACTGCACTGGGGTGGCTGCGAGATGTGCCCAGCCCAGAGCAGGGTGTTCAGGGTCTGCCGTGTGCCCCTGTGATGGAAAGAAGGGCTGGAAACTCTCCAAGGCTCCCCTCTATGTGGACACCACAGGGGAGGGGGATATGATTTGGGTTCTGCTGTCCATGCTTGTCTCTGTTGCCTCCCTGCTTTGTTCCTGCCTGCCTGCTGCTATGGGCACCGTGATGGAAGTTGGAGCCTGAAGACTGGGAGCCGGTGCCCAGACAAGGTGGATCTGATCTGCCAGCCAAAGGAGACCAGGGCGCGTATTTTGTAACCATCCATCATGAGATCCACTGTCCTGCCCTCAGCTGAGCCAGAGCTCAGCCATCTCCAGCCGTGTGGCTGCTCCCTGCAAAGCAGAGCTGTGACCCTCAGTCTGGGTGGGAGCCTGCCACTGTGCAGTGCCACACAGAGCACCTGTACGTGTGCCCAGATGCGGCTGGAGCCAGCAGTACTGCGACTGCAGCATCCTCCTATCTCCCATGACCAACATTTTCCACTCATCAGATATGAGCGTGCCGCAACGAGCCGGCCTGGCCGGAGCCAGGAGGAGAGCTGGGGTTGGTGGTGCTGGTGTTGGGCCCCCACGTCCCCGTGGCCCTGCAGGTAGCACCCGCCCGCAGCACGGCGCTCACATCCATATTTGCACAAACGCTGTGCTGGTGTGCGAGCGGCTCCGGAGCCACCCAGACCAGAAGGGCTTATTTTAAGCTCGCTGGAAAAAAAACGTTGGTTGGTGGGAATTAAAACTCTCCGTTCTCAAAAAAGGGAAAAACAAAAAGATCCGTGTTCTGCCTGCTCCTTCGGTTGCATAAACACAAAGACACATCTGGAAGGGGCAGCCAGGACATGGCCACTTCGTGCAGGGTCAGTTGCCCTCTGCAGCCACCCATCAGTGGGACGGCACCCTGCTGGCAGCCCTGAGCAGGCAGTGCCCACGGCCCTCCCGTGTGCTGCAGAGGACAGCCAGGGCTTGGTGTTGGGACACAGCTCCACGTGTGCTCGGCCCAGGGGGACCCCACATCTCCCGACAGCACATCCCGGCCCAGAGGCAGCTGCCAGCAGCGCCAGGCGGGCGGGAGGGAGTGCACATCCTGCACAGCCCCAGCAGCATCCATCAGCGTTTACAGCACGTCGCCTGTTACACGATCCAGACACACAGGTTCCTCCTGTCCTGCTTCTCTCCCGCCTTTTGTTTTCTTTTACTTTCTGCTCTTGGAGACAGAGCACCTGATGGAAAAAGACTGTGTGTGCTCTGGTTCCTAGAAGCACGCCGCTTCCTTCCGCTCCCCGCTGCCTCTCTGCTGCCCTGGGCTGGGGGGGACAGCGGGGCCACGGCAGGGAAAAACTCTCATCCCAGCAAAGCCCTCTGGGCGTTCTGTTTCAGGCAGCAGAGGTCACTGCAGAATGGACAAAGCAGCTCTGAGGGAGAGAGATGGCAAAGCACTGCAGTGCCCACTGTCCCTGCAAGGATGTGGGGAGCACCCAAGGCCATGTTTCCAGGACAGCAATGCCCTTATTTTTAGGGCTTTGGTGGCTTTAGCTTGCAGGCAGACATCCAAGCTCTCGGTTTCCCAGGGCTGAAGTAAATGGAAAGTTGAGCAGTGACACTGACGTCTGCCCCAGCTCTGCAACTCCTCCCTGCAGAGCTGGGGACGGGGCCACGCACGTGCAGGGACCCGCAGCGCCGGGAGCTGTCACCACTGGGAACCCAGCAGGGATGTCCTACCCTGCTGCTGTCCCGCACTTCCAGCTGGATGCGCCGAGCTCCAGCTGCCGCCCAAGGTCACCTCCAGAGCTGCTGCAGCCTGGGCTCACCCGCTGCCCATGTCCTGCCCATGCCACCAGCACCCCCCTGTAGTGTCAGCAAGCAGAGGAGGCCGTAAATTCAGCACTTGGTTCTGAGCAGGGCTGGCGGAGAGGGAATTCTGCCATCATTCCTCTTTCTCTCGGGAGGGCCGGAGCCAGCTCGGCCCCAGGGGCTGCTCTTGTAGGGACCTGCAGCAGGACTGGGGCTGCTGGGAGCGTGCAGACCTTCGTGCACAGCTGAAGGCAGGGAGTGCAGAAAAGCGGCTTTGCCGGGGGCACAGAAACAGAACCTGCTGCAGAGAGGACTCACTGGGCAGCATCCTACTGAAGGAGTAACAAAAACAAACCCGCGCCGTGGAATCCTGCTTTGCCGTAAATGTTTTTCTTATGGAGTTGTAATAAGACAAGAGCTGTAAAGATAGTAACCTCCTAAACATTACCTTATTAAGGCTTCTTAGAAACCACAGGGCATGACCCCACTGGGTCATGGAACAAGAGAGCAGCATCCAGAGAACAAACAGAGGCTAACGTTACATTTTTCACTTCATTTAGGAAACCTGGTTTCTAATTATAGGCGTTGTTTAATGGCAGCATTTATCCGTGCTTTACTCAAAGCCAGCCCACCGACAGCAGGGGCTGAACAGGAGACAGCAGCAAGATGCTGTGCTCCCAGTGTGTGTGGTGCTCAGCATGGCCCAGCCAGACCAGTACCGGTAGCCACTGCTGACAGTGTGGGGCTGAGTCCAGTACCAGCACAGGGTGTCCTGCACAAGGGCAGGTGCTGAGCATCGCTGGGGTCAGCGTGGCTGTATGCTCCCCAGCTCCTCAACACGCACTGACCCTGCTCTTCTTGCTTAGCCTCCCAGGGACCTTCCCAAGCTCTGCCTTGCAGGGGACAGGAAGACACCAAATGCTGACATGCTGTGCAAAGCCTGGCACAAGGGCACAGAGACCTTGGTCCAAGATCTGAGGCTGCCTGCAGCCCACAGGTGATGGGGATGGGCGTCCTCTCTGCAGACCCTGGGCCCTCGGAGGCCAGCAACGTGTGCCCTTCCCAGGAACCGCCTGGGAATGGATGCTGAGCCAGAGCATCATTGGGGCTGGGGCCACACAGGGCACTGCTGCCAAGAGCAGAAGTGGCTGGGGCTGGTGGTGAGCCCACGGCGTGGCTGTGGGCACCGGGTGCTATCTGCAAAACTCAGGCGCTCATGGCCACGGCCGGCCCTGTGCGTGCAGGCGGCCCTGTGGCTGCCGGAACGCTGTTTTCCCAGGCCAGATGGAGCTCCTCAAAGTGATGGGAACCACAAGCCGGGCCAGGGAGCATCTCCGCTTCCTTCCCCCAGTGGGACAGCCGCCAGTATCAGCGCGCTGCAGCCCCGCTCTGCCCCGCTGCCAGCCCCCAGACCCACAGAGCAGCATGGGCAGGGGCTGCGGGGATCCAGCATCTCTAGGCAGCTCTCTCTGAGGCGTCCCTGTCGTTCCCAGGCGCAGGGCTGGCTGCTCCCACCT